ACAACAAGAGTGGCGTTAACGAACTTATTCAAACAGACAGGCGCCTAAAAATTCGCGAAATTTGCGAGTCGCTAAACATTTCAAAGTCGACTGCCTATAGGATAGAGTTTGATGAGCTGCGCTATTGAAAGGTCTCTGCTTGATGGGTTGGGGCCGAAAAAGACCAGCGGGGTCATTTTGCAGCATGGCAACACAACGCCACACACAGCAAACGTCACGAAAGACTGATTCCAAAGGTTCGGCTAGGAAGTTCTACTACACCCCCCCCCCCCCCCCCGCCCTCACAGTCCTGACTTGGCCCTGTCAGATTATTACCTTTTTGAACCAATGAAACGCCATATTTCTGGACAGCGATTCACCGACGACGAAGACCTCGTGGAAGCCGTGAACGATTGGTTGAAATCCCTTGACAAAAGATTCTTCAGGGAGAGTATCTTCTCCCAGATCCAGCGATGGGAAAAATGTGTCCAGCGGGATGGTGATTACATATAGAAATAAAGCACATGTTGAGGTATGATGTGTTACAGTTTTATTAGAATAGGACAAAGATTTTTGCTTTTACGGACCTTTTCCGGTTTTCTGTGGGACAGCCTTCGTAATATTATCATTTTATTTTTCTGTTTTCCCTATTTGAAAAAAATAAACGCAGGCAACAGCAAGCAAACTGTAAAACATCATGCAAATTCGTGTTTCTTGTTTGTGTAGGATGGTTCAAAATGGCCTAAAACATTAACTGTGATCTGCTACTGATTGGACATATCATGTGTCCAGAATGCCCTTAAAGACTTAAGGCGTTCTCAAACGACGTTGCTTTACCTTATTCGAATAGTTCGGCATGTGAGCGTGAGATCATTGGCGCGAAACTATGCTGTGAGATTGATACGTATTTCTACGTCGTAAAGGACCGTCATGACCCGACTTTCGCTTTTAAAGAAATTAACCGTGTGTGCAGTGTGCATCCATAACATCAGATGAACGCTATCGAGAGATCGCTGACATGACCTCTCGCGTACCGTAATAAGGAAGTGAAATGGGTCAGGGTGAACTTACAGTAGGGCAAAATCTGCGTTTCAAAAATCCGATTAGTCGGTTATCTTCTTCGGAAGATAATTGTCATACTATACTCGAAACCAGGTTTTTCTGAGGACCAATTTTCTGTTCACAGAGGCCTAACTCACAAGAGTGTAGCTCGTTTTCTCTGAAAAGTATAGCAAAAAGAAAAGTGAGATAACTTGGTCTAGATTGTGTGGTGAGGGAACTATTTTTATATTATTTTTTTTTATTAACAGACTGGAATTTGACTTCATTATGGTAGGAGTAGTGGCGTAAGTTTATCTATCTATCTATCTAACTATCTATCTATCTATCTATCTATCTATCTATCTATCTATCTATCTATCTATCTATATATCTATCTATCTATCTTTCTATCTATCTATCTATCTATCTATCTATCTATCTATCTATTCCCCCTACCTCATCCTCTCTCCCACTTCCTTTCTCCCTCTACTTTTCTCTTGAAATAGAAATGGGAGTTTGCCCAGCTCTGTAGGAAACGAGTCATCACTTCCTGCTATTTCGATAAGTACGTGTAGATTATGACATTATCAGTTCACTTTGCGATACTTGGCCTTGTCGCTGAGCTCAGCTTACATCTGCTATTGTCTCAATTCATCCACGATCCTTTGCTGATGTTCGACGGGAGGTAGTTTAAAGACCCAGTGAGGTAGATTCTACCTGTCCTTTTTTAATCCTTATTTGTACGATTATTTCAGGTTCTCGTTCTGATGAGGGAGCTGCAAGTTCAATGTATAAGGGACTTTGTGATTTTCTAGAGCTGAACAACGTAGAAGTGCAGTGTTTATCGCATTTGGAGGTTTTTGGATTGTTCTTTTCTTTTAACTTTTCTTCAAAGAGGGGGGGGGGGGTTGTCTTATTTGGTTGGTTGGTTTTTTTTTTTTTTTGTGTGTTATTTTGGAGGGGCAATGTTTATGTTTTTTCCTTCGTTTGAAGTGTATTTGTGTCTGTGTTTTTGTGTATGTTTTGTGTGTGTAAGTGTGTGTATTTTTGTGTATGTGTGTGTCTTTGTGTGTGAGAGAGAAAGTGTGTTTGTGCTTTTGTGTATGTGTTTGGGTGTGTGTGTATGTGTGTGTGAGTGTGTGTGTATGTGTTTGAGTGTGAGTGTGTGTGTGTGTGTGTGTGTTTGTGTGTATGTGTTTGTGTTTGTGTGTATGTGTTTGAGTGTGAGTGTGTGTGTGTATGTGTGAGTGTGTGTGTGTGTGTGTAAATGGGGGGGGGGGGGG